TTCGTAACTCTTTGCTATGAAAACGCACAAGTTTGCAAAATTCCATACTTCTTTGTGATGAAGCCGCTCCTGTCACATACTCTGCTTCAGCTGTAAAAAGTCTTCACACGTTTGTTTCTTGAAAAAGCAGCTGATTGGATTCCCAGCATACTGTACTACAGAGCCACTTGTACTCTTCCTGTCGGTTTTGTTTCCAGCCAAGTCTGCGTCGGAATATGCTACTAATGTTTCTTCGCCCCTAGTATATATCAGTCCAGAATAAAAAAAACCTCAGAATTGGTTTGCCGGCGCAGTCTTCCAAAAATCTACTAAGATAGGAACTGCATACAGAATATCTGGGTTAGAACTGCATGCCAAGTACAACACAGATCCAATTAACTTTCTACATAAGACATCAATGATTTCATCTGATCCTTCAATTTGAAATCCTGTCGCTATAAGTATAGACACTCCTTTATAATCTGACATACGAAAATCTTGTAGAATTTTATTAATATCCTTCCTATGATTTCAGAAGTTCTTACATCTTCATTCCAATGAATCTGCTAATTTCACTCAAATATTTAGCACCTAGTTTTTTTTTTCCAAATTATCTACCACATCCTGTATTTGATCTTTCTCCCCTGTGATAATTAAACTATATACAAAAACAATAAGCCACACATCTTGTTTGGTATAGACAGAAATCTTATTGAGATCTTTTAAAGGCTTAAAACTTTCATTATTATTTGTTACTCCAGCACTTTGAACTCTCTACCAGCCCATGCAAAGCTCTGTTATGTTTCAAAACTTTGTAGGTACCTACTGATATTTTTATATATACTTTAGATTCAAGTTTTTCATTTAGAAAAGCACTTGGAATGTCTAGTTTACGTATATTCCAATTATTTTGTAGCGTATGAACTAGAAATGCTCTAATCGTCGACAATCTTGCTTCCTTGGTTCGGAACATCCATCTGGTGTGAATTACAGATTTATTATCAGGAAGTTTATTCAGAGTCCAAGTTTGCAGATTTCTGACTGAGATACTTCATCTCATTGTTGATGGCAAAACTGCTCTAACCCTCGGGCAGGCACGCTATCGGCCTTTTATGCCGCCTTTTTACTAATTCAAGGATTCCGCAAATATTGTGGATTTCATCATATTGTCCGTCTAGCTATGTTCAAATGACTATATCAGTAAACCTACTACGCAAAATTTACGGCCTTAGAGCACTTGTTCAGATGTCAGTGATTTCTTGAACTTGCAGTTGTTAAGATTTCGGCATTCCGTGCCGCCAGCGCGCCTGGTCATGTAAGTAAAATTACAAGGGGAAAGTACAAATATTATGAATATTATTTTTGTGTTCTTGCAAAATTAGTATTAAGGATTTCATTTCATTTCCAAAAAATACAATTTATTTTATTTTTTTACTCTATTTAAAAATAAATTTTGATGTTTTGAATTATTTCGTACGTTTTTCTGATGGCGGCACGCAGTGCCGCAACGCGCCCGCTAATGTGATTTTCAAATGCGCGCCTGCCCTAGGATAAGCTTCTAAAAATTTTTCAGGATCTGTTATGTCTTCATCATCCGGTATTTTTGTACCTTTTATCTTTACCATATAACTGAAACTGGTAAAGGTAGAGTTTGAAGTGTTTTCATTTTGTATAGTCAGTTTGTCATAATTGTTGGAAATATAGAGTTGACTTGAAAAGTAAAGCATTATAACATACTTATTAGGATCCTCCTGTGATTTTGCAACACTTAAATACATATGTATATAGAATACTAATGTCATAGTTTTGAAGATACTGAGGTTTATAGACCTCTCTACCAGTTCTTGTTACAATCATCCATCAATTTGTAACTCATTCTCTTTGATTTCTACTGCCCTTACAATTATTTCTTTTTTTTTCAATCTCTGTCTTTCTATCTTTCGTATTCTTCAAGGAATACAACATCTCTAATGAAAATAATGTTCTTAATTTTCATATCAATCCATCCATACCCTTTTGTATTTTCTCCATGGCCCATAAACATTAACTTCTGTGATTTAGGATCTCATTTCTTCCTCAACTGATCTGGAACATGCGCCAGCTTCACAACCAAAAATTTTCAGCTCTGATAAATTGGGTGTTTCCTTAGTGCGGTGTCACACTATGCGTTTTTACCGCTGCGGCAAGAAGGGATGCCTTTTGACCGGATGAACTCTACTTGTCACACTATCCTATCGGGATCCGTTTTAACGGGATGTTTCACCAGTCGAATTTTGGTAGAATTAGTATCATGGCGAATTCATTAAAGATTGTGTGTACTCTAGAAGCAGAGGATTTATAGGGAAAGGAGGTGGATCGTCAATATTGGATTCACCTTTTCAATTTGGAACGAGAGTCGAGTAAAAGATTTGCAACATTCTACGACAAAATTCGAATGTACGATTGTGTATTCTTTCGACCTTTTCTCCCATAATGCTTGTTTACCGTGGAGGCACTCAATGAATAATACCACCTCAAACAAGATGAAATTTGAGGAAAAAACAAACTGCACGTGTTTTCGTTCTATTGCGGTAGTCAGGTCGTGCGGAGCTGCCGCAGCATGATGCGGTTGCATTCGGTTTGGGTGCGTTACAACGCTGTATGTGACAGCTCTCAGCTAATACAATGGGGTTACACCATTTCGGAGAGTTCATGCCGCAGTGGTGAAAACGCTATGTATGGTACCAATTCCAGACTTCATAGGGGGTTTTCCCAAGTACTGCTTTTGTTGGTGATCTATTTATTAAAGTATGACTGCAGTTTTAACTGCTTCGCTTCAATAGTTTTTATAGACAAACATGCATCGGACTATACACTACGAGCTTTCTAATTGTCTATTTGCTCTCTCGCATCTAATAGCTGTCTGATGTATAATACCTGAGTCATCAGGTACCTATATCTTCTTGAATTTCTCATTTACATATTCAGTACCATTGTCAGTTCCCAGAATTTTTAATATAAAAACAGTCTGATTCTGAACAAGTTCCATAAGTTCTTGAAAAAATTCAACTACTTGACTCTTCTCTGATAGAAAATATATGTCTTGAGAAGTCATCTATTAGCGTAAAAATGTACTTACAGCCACCTATAGTGGTTATTTCCATTGACCCACAGAGATCACTGTGAACCATCTGTAGAATCTGGCTTGTCTTTCTCATGCTGCAATAGAATGGCATTCGACTTTGCTTGCGTTCGACACAGGAAAAACATGACTAAGTTGCTGTACTTATTCTGTCCAAACCACTAGACTTTCTTGAAAGCAACTGCATTCCCTTCCTATTCAACTTACTCTTGTCTTCTGTGCATCAAATCATTTGAGTGCTCACTTACACAAGAATAGACTGATGAGCTTTAGAACTTAACTGGTAAATACCGTTTTGCTTTAAACCCTGTCGCTAAGTACAACTTGGTTTGACATGATGATAATTTTTGCTCCAGGCCTATCAAGAATTACCCTGTGCCCTGTTTGCACAATTTTGCTGATGGAAAACAAATTTACTGCTGCAGCAGGAGCATACATGACCTTATTTGCAGGAAGCACCTTACTTTTACCATTTCGCAGCACACAATTGTTCACTGTTCCTTTTAAAAAAAATGTTCATGTCACTGTTCGCCATCTTTGATTTTTACTGACCAGTCATTATTTTTGGTCGAATGAACAGAAGCACACGAGTCTAACAACCATGCATCACTATTCACCTCTTGGAGAGATAAACATGCTAGAAAAGCGTTATTGTTGCTTTTATTTTTATCACTATTAGTACCTTGTGAGCTGCCTGCTCTACACTGAGATTATCCAATCCAAAGCACTTAACTTTGTTTCTTGTAAACTTTCTATCTGAACCTCTTTCAGACTAGGTACGATTGCTACATTCGAGCGCGCTGACTCTGAATCAGAACTTGATTTAACATCTCGTAACAACTTCATATCTGTGTTCCACTACTCTCTAGACCCATAATCATTGGCCTGTATTCTTCCGGCAATCCTGCCAGCAACCGAACCACTCACCTTCTACTTTGAACTCCATTTAATTTAACTTTTGTGATGTCGAAATAATGGTTTCACAATATTCTTCTACTGAACTGCAATCTTCTAATTTGGTAGTTGTAGTAAATTTCTTAAAAGACCAACCTTTCTTGAGAGTCCTAATTCTTCAAAAACTTTTTCCAAATTTTTTCATGCATCTTCAGCTGAGAATAATTCAACTTATCAGCAGACTAGACAGACTATATTTCGGTACCTTCAACGACTTTCCACAGGTCATCTAATTCTAGCAGTGCCTTCATAGCGAACTTCCACCCGCGATAATTAGGCACCTGTGACGTCACACACATAACCTCACTTTCAAAGAAACAGGTTGTTTTAAAATTCTTAATCTACGTCGGTGTTATTATGACATATTTAGCATTGTCATTTGAATGTCATTGGTTCCTTCATAATAGCACTAGTGCGTTTAAGAATTCATAAAAACACTCAAATTATGAAATGGAAAATATACAAAAAGAAAGTTACCAGAAGAACTTGATGCTGTCTCGATATTCGAAGGGACACGTTCGAAGTTAGAATCACCAATATTACCATTATTTTCCACTATAAAACTGAATTTATGGTACAAAAATTGACTCCAATATTGAAGCTGTTAAAGTCGAAGTTCTAAAAATCAACAAGCAGGTTCCCGACTAGTACAGGCACCTGCTAAATTTTGAATTTAAATTGAAAAGTTTTTGCTATTTCAAGGCAAATCAAATCTATTTGGACCATCGTAGATTAAATTTTGAATGATACACGTCACGTTTGATATGAACTTTATTAATGAAACTTGTGTAACTAAACCACTCGGCTAACGCCTCGTGGTTTAACGTTACACGCGTTTCATTATGGTGTTCATATCGAACTAATATCATTAATACCTATTATTGCTTTCATGTGTAATTTCTATACTTATTCCAATGTATTAACAATAAAATTATTACTCTTCCAGATCCCAATTACGGTTCTTCAAAATGTAGCCAGGCTTATAACGAATCCCTTCAGTCAAGCGAGGAAAGAGGTGGCACCTGCAGCATCTTAAATGTCTGAATTTATGTGTTATTAATTTTATATTGTTCCAAATTATGTTATAATATCTACGACACATGATACAAGCTAATTACGAGACTCACTTTGTGCAATTTAAGTTACATAATGAATATTCATTGTCGCACTAAATGAACTGAAGAACACCCAAGTTGAATATATTCTGTAACAGAATACATATTATGTTCAACTTGGGTGTTCTTCTGTAACAGAATATATTCAACTTGGGTGTTCTGATTGAAAAAATTGAATAATCGGTATCAAGAAAAATTTAAAGAAATCAATCAATAATAACACACCAATGATATGCTTTAAAACGGATTTATTGTCGTTACAAAATTAGCAGTTTTTTGTATATAATGTTAATAGAATTTATTATAATGTTTTATATGAAAATAAAATTATATCCAAATTTTTCTTGTTTAAATATTTTATAGATGTTAATTAGGTTAGATGTTGCTGTTTTTATTTTTGTATGTGTTTTATTAATAATTATTATTTTTTATAAATCGTCTTTGGTTTTAAATCCATAAATTTCACGTTGATGCAGCGGATGAGCTTTAGTTTTAACATAATTCTTGAATAATTAGAAGCTTGCTTTGATGCGATTACATGGAAAACTGATCGTCAATTAGTTTCATTAAAAAGAAGTTTTTAACGAAGTTAAGTCCTGATTTTAAGGACGTTTCGTTTTCTCTCTCATCCATAAATTGCATCGATTTTTCCATTATACGCGGTTTAGAAAAGTTATTTTAACATTCTTTTTCCATCAATCTTGATGACCAACCTGAAGATTGATGACGAAATATTAATGTACCAGTTATGGCTCATATTGATCCTTGTATGGGTCATTCGCGGTGCATGGCCTTTTATGTTTCGGACAACCACGTTTATGGAGGACCACCAAACATAGTGCAGTAAAATTAATTTAGATTGCTTATCTAACGAACGTGCTATATCTATTCAACATTTTAAAACATGCAGTATTGTCGCTTCGGTCATAAATTACTAGAAAGTTTGATATTTTAAAGGAACTACGAATATCAATTTCTTTGATTAATTGATTTGAAAGAGGAGCATGTATTTGCTATCACCCTCTTGGTACAGCGCTGTCTTACCTCAGGAGCCGCAACTTTCAAGAAAGGTGCAGACCCGCTCAGGCAGGAAATGCTTTATTTTATCAGGTTTCATCTACTTCGCTGCAGAACCTACATTCTGTCCAATGCCCCGTCAAGACGCCTGTGATGGCTGTCTCCTTTTTAGTTTGGGAGGCTTTTTGTTCCTTTGCAGTTTGAGGAACCTTGTAAAAGGATCCTTGACTGTCGGAGGCCTCTTTGATTCAGCCATTCGTCTTGGAACTGGTTGTCAGATCAGTTCTTGATCTTGGTTTACACCAGGCAGGAAGCAACCCCAAGTGCAGGCTCTGGGTGGTACTACCTTCACGAGCCAGCTAGTCCGCCTCCTCTTACTTTTTATTTCTGTTTGATCCAGGACCCAAACAAGGGTGATCTTGTTGAGCCCACTGACTAGTTCTAGGATTGTCATACAGTCAAGCGTGAGCCTTGAGTTGACCCTGTCTGAGCAAAGGGCTCGGAATGTTGCTTGATTGTCGCTGATGCATATACAAATATGCTTGTCCGAGTAACCTCTCTGGATGTATATTCTCGAAACAGGGGAACAGCGTTCTCATGAGAACGATTGCTCTGTCTTTATCAATATTATGGAGATATAAAAATTGGCGACTGAGACAGAACCTCCGTTCTCATGAGAACGCTGCTCCCCTGTTTCGAGGATAGGAGCCCAGACGATGCTCCTGAGCTCACACCTGTATGGCATAGATTTCATTCTGCTATACCGTTGGGTATCAACCCAGTGCAGTGCAAGACTGATTCTTGCCACAGGTCTCGCCCCTTCCTACACCAGCTTCCGCAGCCGCTCCCATCAGAAATCAGAATATCCCCTTCGGCTCGAGGAAATATGGCTCAGGCTCTAGCCAGTCCTCCCCTGCAAGTATGACATCCTTGTATTATCTAGAAAGGACTGAAGTTTCTGGCATTGCATCCCTTTCGGTGAGAAGGGGGACCTGTCAGATAGTATCAGTCTAGGCCCATACATTTCCCATATTCAGACCTCTATGAACTCACTGTCTCCAATCGTTGACTCTGACTGAAACCTCCTAGGGCAGTGCCTCCACAAAGAAATGAAGAGTCACTATTCCCAGTATGGCCTTAACTGCCAGCGTTGGGATGGTTCTAAGGGCTCCAATTGTAGCTATGCAGCTATGCAGGCAAGTCGTTCGAGGATTTGCTTAGCGCGTTTGACCAAACTAAGCTGTCCTACGTGATCATTGGCCTTATCACTGCTGTGTAAAGCAAGTGGACTATGTAGGGTTATGCGTCCGTTGAATCTTGTACAGACCCAAAGGCTAGCAGTGTCTCTTTGGACAATCCTGTTGAAGTGATCTTTCCAGGTCAGCCTGGAGTCAATGATTCGGGCGCCTCCCCTGGTGGTGGATAGGGGAACACCTCCCAGATGGGTGGTACCGGTGAAATGAAATAGCCGGGGTATACCAAAAACCAGCACTGAGACGGAGGATCCTCAGGGTTTGGCGGTACTACATGGGCGGGGGAGGCTCATAGCTGAAGAGAAAAGCAACCCGACTAGAGAAGGAAACTCGAAAAAAAAAAAAAAAATAATGGGCGGACGAGGCTCAAAGCTGAAGAAAAAGCAACTCGTCTAGGGTAGGTTCCCGAATAAAACTAATCAAAAATCACCAATATGTCGGAAGGAATACTGAAAAATATTTTACCCCAGGCTGGTAGCGCCGATGGCGCAGAATCCCGCCCCAAGCTTCCGGGCTCGGGCTGCTCCACGGATTCTGGGGGGAGCAACCAACCGATAGGAAGGGATGAAAAAAAGAAGCTGTCTACAACGGTAATGTACCTTTTGTGGGACGAAGATGAAATGAAGAGTAAGAGACCACAAACATCGGAATGTCTGGAAGCGTCAAAGAGGGAAACATTGAAAACGAACAAAAATGTTCCCCGAGGGTACAAAAAAGAGGAAAACAACTGACATTCCAAGCACCGAGACAGACGACCCCTATAAGAAGAAGGAATACCCAGGTTTTTGTAATAAAAGAGACTCTAGAAGCCATCACCAAGATAGGAAAAGAACTAGAGAAGAAAATAGAGCAGAACACAAAGTGCAAAATCCACACAAGTGGAAGTGATAAACAAAAAATCTATACAGGATTGGCTAGACAGACGCAAATACGAAAGGGTAAGTAAGATGCTCATCGACAACGAGGCACAAACCGACAAACCAACAGAGCTACCCACTCAAACCGAGCCAAACCACCTAAAACACCTTGAAAACAACATCGATACATATGAGGAATTCGAAAAAGTAACCAGCAAAAAATGGGCACAAGAAATTTATAAGAACACCGACATAATAGTAGGAAGCCCGATAACAACGAAAAACACTTTATACCCAAAGTGGTCATGGTGGAACCAAAAGACCCGAACATGGAAAAATCAATACAGGCTGCATACAAAAACCTATATCCTGAACTAACAGAGATCACAGAATATTACGACACCCTAGAAGTTACCAGTAAAATAGCTTCGCAGAAGGACACAGCACAGGGCGAAAAAATAATAAAAATAACAAAACCCAATAAAGACATGGAGATGCTCTTTAAACACATTAAAAGGGTAAAAAAGGGAAACGGAGACGGAAGAGGTCCTCGCTTTCCACTATATAAAATGGATCCCACTTGAAACACTAAGAAAGATGGTGGAGGCAACCTTCCATAAATCAAAACAAAAACCGGTGACCGCAAACTACAACAAATACCGTGGCACAAACACAAACAAGGACGTATGCAGTGGTGGTAGAGGACAAGGACCAGGACTACAAAGACATAGTAGGTATGCTAAACGCAACACTTAGAATTGAAAAAGAATTTGGAAGGAGACTCCTGACTACAAAAAATCTAAATATCGGCATGACCAGGTGTCAGCTCCAAAAACACAAGGCAGGCACAAACAGGTGCCCCTCCTTTAGACGAGCTCTGAGCATCGCAAGAAGAAGCGATTACAGGGACAGAAGACCAAGTATGATAGACAGAAGCGGGGGGATGCTGCAGACTCAATTCAACAATGAGCAACATAAGTATACTCCAACTAAACTTTAACCGCTGCAAGGCGGTACACGATCTTATGTCGGAAAAGATCAACACAGAAAAAAACGCACATACTTATGGGATACGAGCCAAATGTGAGAGAAAAGTTAGACTTCTGGGACTACAACTGTGATGCTCTCATAAACATCTATCAAGGGCTGCCAGTGGTAAATAGCACCAGGGGGAAGGGATACATCTGAGTAGAACTGGAAAAATGCACTCTGATCTTCTGCTATTTCTCGCCAAATGGAGAAGAGGGAGATTTTGAATTACTAGTACACGCAATAATGACACATGTAGGAAGATCAAAAAAAGGAGTGATAATGGCGGGAGATCAAAATGCAAAAACGGCGACTCTAATTAGGGGTAGAAAGAAAAAACCGTAGAGGAAAAATTTTCTAAGACTGGATCAGCTCAAACGACCTGCTTATAATAAATGACGAAAACGTCCTAACCTTCTACACTGAACGGAGGAGCTCCATAATCGACATCACAGCTACAACGAAACAAATGGTAGACAATATAGAAAACTGGAGGGTTGAGACGCAAACAAAAAACTTGAGCGGCCATCGCACTTTTACTTTCAGGCTCAACACAGACAACAAGAAAGATAGCACAACCAAAAACTTAATCAGAGGATGGCAAGTTACAAGCCAGGGCATGGAAAATTTCAAAAAGCTCAAAAAGAGAATAGAGATTAGCGAAACCACATATGAGAAACAGATTGAAAAACTTTTAAAGCACGAGAAAATCACATGGACTAAGGAGGACCCCCGACTGAGAAAACCATCCCAATGTTCACAAAAGCTGAATTGATAAAAGCCATAGGGAACCTAAAAATAAAAGCCTCAGGACCGGACATAATGTCACTTGGAAGAATAGCCAACTCCGCGAAGTGAGACCCAACCTCTTTCCTAGAAATATACAATAAATGCCTGATAACAGAAACTTTGTCAAAAAGCTGGAAAGCAGCTAGGATTGTGTTAATAGAAAAACCACCTCCCAAACCAAACACAGAGGAAGTGACATACAGACCTCTGTGTCTCATTGATGCAGCCGGAAAGATGCTGGAAATACTTATAAAAGACAGACTACAGAAAGAACTGGAAGAAAAAGGCTGATACACCAAAATCATTCCGTTTTCTTTTAGAAAATATAAACAACATGGATGAGCAGAAAGTGGGGCACATTAAACTATTATACGACAAAAGCGATGACGGAACATGGTATTTTTGGAACATGTACCTGAAAAAAATAAAAAAAACAAGAAACAGACGCCTGCTGGTACTGTGGAGAGATTGACACTCCGGAGCACATATTATTTAAGTTCACAAATTTTATAGAAATTAGAGAGCAAACTCAGCAAGAGTGCCACCACGGTCACCCTGGAGTATGTAGGAGAGCTGATATTGGAGAACGAAAGAAACTGTAATGCAGTGACGGAAATGTTCAAAGAAATACTGAAAGAGAAGGAGATGGAGGAAAGAAAGAGGGAAAAAGATGTAGAGGAAGCACAAGGACACTAATCAAGAAACAAATACCAAGAAAGAATTATGGAGAAGGACTCCGAAGTAATGCTGCATCGTGGCAGTTCCGGAGATACGGGGTGATGTTCAGTGGGTATAACTCTCATTGAACAGCGGTGAGAAAAAAAAAAATAAAAAATCAGTCAGGATCAGTCAATGATTCCCTCGATGATTCATGACCCCTAGGTATTTGACCAAACCGGATGGAGCAAGTATCGATCTAAAGAGCGTGAACGCTTCCAGGTCCGCCTTTCTTCGCTTACCAATTTCTTAGTTGTGATAAAATGTTTCTAAACTACGAAGAGCCTTGGCATTTTTTTTACAAAACGTGAAACTCAGGAATAATTCTATCGAAAATATCAAAATTGCTGCTACTTTCTGTGGAAGCAACGACACCTCACGACAACACTACGAACTAATTAGGCATTGTCGCAGAATCTTGTGTTAGTGAGTTGGAAGGGGTACTGTTAATTTATACATTATTCTTTTTAGTCTTTATAACATATCATTAGCATGACCCATACATTGGTATACGTTTATGACGGCTGTCATCATCTAATCTATGGATCCTGACATACACCTCAGGCATAGTCAAGACCACTTCACACTTCACTACCCTACATCCCTCTTCAAGAATAACATTCACTTGGAAGGTGGCTTGGAAAGTCTACCTGAATGTGCACCATATAGGTTTTTTTTTATGAATCTGCCTTTCCAAGTCTGAATCATCAGAATCACTTTCATTTGTGACGACTTGTTTGCTCTCTTTTTGATAGTCACTAGATTCACTGGAATTATTATTAACAACAATTTCAGTATTTTAATTTCCGGGATAAACTGTCTCATTGGGGAGTGTCTCTTTATAATGACTGTTATCACAAGTGTCTTTATCCACACTCTCATTATCTGATATACTATCTTCACTTACAATTTCTGCCTCAGGAACAACTATAACATCAATATTATTACTTAAATCATCTAGCTGGATAATAGTATATTCTTCAACGAGCATATAATAATAGCCATTATTTGCGAGTACCTACAGGTAGCATCTAACGAAAATTTTAACACTCAGAACCCAGGCTCCAGAGATGTCGAAATCTTAACCTCAAATTTATGTTGGCTCTGTTGCCACAGCTTCACTTCACTTGTTCTGTTCGTGCGTAATTCGCTACTTACAACTCTTAGGTACAACGTAATATTTCTATGACTTGCAACCGCTATTGTAATCATTAAAAATCATACTGTAAGTTTAATTTTACGCCCCATCCTGTGTACTAGTAAAGTAAATCGCACAGGTGTATACCAATCAGAAGCAACCGTCATTCTTTAGTGTTGTCTAAAATAATGAACGTCCAAAAATACGAAATTATCGCATAATTCAAAAGTTCAGTGTGTATATTGTAGAAATTTTGATCATGTTAAAGAAAACTGTAGCAAGTTAGCTCACAAAAATACTCAGTCTGAAACAAAAAAATTCCCATGAATCTCCTATCGGACTACCTGTTAATGTCCAATGCAAACATCTTGAATAGGAATTTTAAACAAAATCTAAGTGTCGCAAATCCTTATAGTTTGATGTGTTATGGTTGCAAGAAGCCTGGTTTTACAAAAACTAATTGTCCTAACTATTCGAAGACTACCGAGACTTGTTCCTTTTCCTCAGAATTTTATACTATAACAGCAGATAATTTGTTTTTACCCAATTTTTACACTCGACCCTTAACTTATGTTACTATACAAGGTCATCGTGGCTTAACTTATCTTGATTCTGGTGCACAATCAAGTATTGCTGGTGCTAAATTGAGTAGAATGCTTCTTGAAGATGAAATACCTTATATAAAGAAATAACTGAAAGTGACTGTATTGCTGATGGTGAAAGTACTCAAGTTGAAGCCTACTTCTTTGATGTTGAAATAATGCTTCAAGATATAATTCATCATATTTGTCTCATTTCTATTCCAGGATATCATAACAGCAGAACACTTCTTGGCACAGATTTTTTGAAACTAGCCAATATAGTGTTGGGTATGCCCAATGATTCCTGGTTTTATAGTCATTCTCCTTTATTTCTGATAATGTCGCTATTAATAATCTAGAAACCTCTGATGCGACCAAAATCTCACAATAAGTCTATTAGTCAGCCTACTCCTTTTGCAGAGCATTCTATTAATCTCATAGATGAAACTCCAATTTCTGTACCTCTGTATCGGATGTCTGAAATAAGAAAAGAGCAATTGCGAAAAGAAATTGATGAACTCTTATCCGATGGAACTATAGAAGAGTGCGAGTCTCCCTATGCTGCTCCAAAGAAAGATGGTGGCATTAGGTTGACTATTGATTACCGCAAGTTGAATGCGAAAACAATAGCCGACAGATACCCCTTGCCTCGTATTGATGATACATTAGGTCTGTTTCTGCAGAAATCACAAACCAATCAGAACGAATGAAATTCACTCTGACTGGTTTGTGATTTCTGCAGAAACAGACCTATTACATGCTGCAAAGAAAACTCGTTTTATGACAACTTTGGATTTAAGATCTGGTTCTCATCAAATATCAGTCAATCCATCTAATCGAGACAAAACTGGTTCCATTTGTTCTTTTGGATTTTTTAGATATACAAAGATGCCATTTGGATTACGATGAAATGCTCCGTCCACATTTCAAAGACTAATAGAGTGGACTGGACTTCAAGATATTAACATATTAGCGTACCTCGATCATATAATTATTTTATAAAACTCATTTGAACTTCATGTTAGTGATTTACAAAAAGTTTTTGATCGCTTAAAATTATTCAAACTTCAATTAAACCGTTCGAAATGCAAATTTTCTTGTTCTTCTGTCAATTACCTCGGTCATTTAATAACTTCTTCTAGTATTGCTCCAAGCCCAGATAAGGTTTCTGCCATTTCTAAAATAGCAAATCCTCGAAATGTCAAAGAACTACTTTCTTTTCTACAAACTTGTTCCTGAATCCGACGTTTTATAAAAAACTCCGCAGAAATTTCAAAGCCAGGTTTTTTAATGTTAATGTTAATGTTAATGTTTTTCAAACTTTTGTCAGGTTGTCACATTATTTTCTAATTTTGTAATCACTTTTACTCAATATATTCCTCAATTCGTATTCTGCACATCCGTTTTCTTGGCAATTCAGACAATCAGAAGATAGTTCAATAGAAGAAACACTATATAGAACATAGAAGATCCCAATCCCCACTACAAAGTTACTTTTGAACATGTATATATAAATCGTTCAAATACAGAAACTGATGCAGTTATAGACAAAAAAACACATGTACCATCGTCACCAAAAGTAACTGGGACAGCTTCACATAGCTCTTGTCCTATTATATGAATTTTATTGTCAAATATTTGTCAAACTATGAATTAAATGCATTGAAATGAATGACAGTAGAATTAGTCCAGGAGATTATTATGCATTATTTGTGTCCCAGATACTTTTGGTGACGATGGTACGTCAAATCCCAGTAATTACACCTCCAGTTGCACATAAAATATTTAAAATTTGTCCCTTTTCTCCATTTATTTGTTTTCACTTACCTACAATATCAAACATCAAACATAACCCGGACTGATTATGTTTGTTCAATACTAATAAATCCACAGAAGTCGGACATGGAAAATGTTACAGAGAGGAAATTATCCGGATTACCTGATCCAGGATTGTTTGCCGTGCTTTGGCAACGTCGCGAAAAGCACGCGAAATTTAAGCGCGAAATTTAGAAATCGACGGTCAGTCTTTTCGGAAAATTCGGGCAGGTCGCAGCAAATTTTCCGTTGCCGATAAGGCACTAGTGAATTACGCAAATAAAAAAGGCAAACACTGAAAAGTGAAAAAGTGTACGGACGGAATACAATCTAACATAATATTGTTGTTTTATACGAAACTGATTGAATTTAGTTTCCAAAAAGTTTCGCAAACATTTACAAAAAGTTTGTCGGTTTGAGAAAAACTTTTCAAAGAAGTCCAAATTCAATTCCTTTTCAGGACATGTTTCAATTCCTTTGATGTTTTTGTTTAAGTTGTTGCTAACCATTGCGGCACAAAATAATTAATTTAGTCCTTTGCATTGTTTAAATTTTAAAAATGCTGTAGCTGGGGCATTAAAAGAATAAATCCCCTTTTAACAAAAATTATTATAAAATAAAAACTAGCTAAAATTTTGTAGCCAGTGAGTGACTTATCAGTCTATTTTCCGAAAATTAGTGGCAAATAGTGATAAAATTGACCTCTGTTGTAATTATGGTAAAATATTGCTTATTTGATTGACGTTTTACATTTTTGTGCATTTTTTCCACACCAATTTAGTGATAAAGTTAAGTACCTAGGTACATAGGTATTCATTAAAACATATTACTAGGCATTTTCATTTTGATCAACAAGTTTGGAGGGATGTTTGCAAACATGTTAGGTACTTATAAGATTGTTGTGTGACTACAAACATTATATACAACTTTTTTTGATGTGGTTACTTGAAATAGTGGAGGTTTTTACAGGTTGAAAAATTAAACAATTTTTTTTTACGTTTCGGAATTTTCTATTCATTCCATCTTCAGAATTTAGAAAGTCAAAATTATATAAACTAAAAATATATAAAAAAAGGAACTCAAAATAGTTATTTATGATATAAGTGCTAAAAGTGACATTTTATTTTGTGAAAAGGGAGGTTTGGGACACGACGCCGAAGGCGGAGTGTCACATCCCTTTGAAAAAACAAAATCACTTTTAGCACGAAGATCATACACTATTTTTTCTACAAACGCACTAAAAGTGATTACTTTTAGCACTAGTGCTAAAAGTAATCACTGACACTGACACTGACACTGACAGCATCCGTTAAAAATGACACTTTTAGTGATGTTTGTAGAAAAAATTGTTTTACACACAAAAGAAAGCACTTACCACAGTTGTTTTTACATTTCGAAAATTTAAAATATATATTTTTTTTTGTATAATAACGAAAACGTAGTTACATTAAATGACGAACGAAAAAAAATCGAAAAACATAGTTTTTTCAAAAGTAAAACACATGTAGAATCAGTTGTCGTCTATTCTGTGTCAAAAGTAGGTAGTACTAAAATGGAAATCAAATTAAAATTGGTATGCATTCCTTGTAAATAATACTACGTAAACACAACACTGCTTCAATAATCTGCATCAATTTGACTTTAACAACTTTCAAATCATTAGTGAAGAACAGAATTTTTCATATAGACTTTTCCAAGAAATGTAACAAATTAAAAAGAATCAGAATTCTATCAACTTCCGCACTGATATTGAGAATTTAGGCAGTGTTAATAATAATAATAGGGTAATAAGAAAATTAAAATAAGTAAGTACCACAATTTTATTAATTGGATATAACCATTTCTGCTCTACCCTTTTCTTTTTTTTAATTTGTTCCAAGTTGAATTTTTCTTCTCTTTTCTACGTTTTTTCTTATTCTTTCTCTAAATTTTATGTTCCACTCGTTTGCAGTTTTTTCATCTTCCAAAATAATATCATACCTAATATTTTAACAATTATATTTATTAAGAAAGAAATGGAAGAATATACGAACGTCATCTAAACAAAAACGTATAGCAACACCAAGGAATGCATATCAATTTTAATTTGATTACCATTTTAGTACCAACTACTTTTGACACAGAACAGACGATAACTTATTCTGCATGTGTTTTACTTTTAAAAAAACCATGTTTTTCAATTTTTTTTTTGTTGTATAAGTTAACTCTGTTTGTCATTTAATGTAAAATTATATTTACTTTGATGCAACTTCTGTTTTTAAAAAGTTTTATTTTAAATAAACACGAAATTACATTGATGTTTCTATAACAAAGCTGACTTAAAGACTAACAGCTGTATGCAACATCCTCTTTTACCTTAAAAGCGCTTTTTAAAGCTGGTACCTTTAAAAATTTGTATGGTTTAGAATACACATTTTTAAAAGTGACCAGTTTTAAAAAGCGCTTTTAAGTTAAAAGAGGATGTTGCATACAGCTGTAAAATTCCATACTGCTGCGCCATATAATTCCTCCCTCACTAAGTTTGAGAAAATTGGGGATGATTTTTGAAAGGTTTCAATTCTATGCCCCCTTTAACATCAGTTTGATTTTTCTTACAATAATTAAAATGACGACATACAAAGAATAGTATAACTATGATTACAATGATTAATATAATAATAATTACAATTATGGATAAATTTGAACTACCAATATCGAATTCTTTAAGAGGGTGGATAGTAGTTTTTTTAAAATTCTCTAAATCTTCTCTTATAGTTTCAATATTAATTTCAGTTAGCTCTAAAGGTTCGACATTTGGGATTAATTTTTCGTCAATATTGATTGATGGTAGTTCTAGTCTCAAATTAATTATGTCTGGTTTTTCTGAATCATAATCATTTTCTTGAATTTTGACTTTACAAATTGAGGGTAAAATCAATGAAATTTTACTTATTACTTCAACATATGTTGGCTGGGACATTGGGAGTAAATGTTCTCTTTTGATGTTGGGATAATTATAAGCGAATTGTCATCTAATTTTGTGACAGAAGTTTCCTTATATTTGATAGGAGTCACTGGGCAATGATTGGTTGAATTCATCGTTTGATAAACGCAGGGGTCGTTTTGATTGAGTAATTCGATGTGGCATAATGATATGTCTTCGATTTTGAGACAGTTTTCTTTTATATTATAAAAGTGGTCATAAGATCTCATCAAATAAGGGTTTTTTAATATCGCTATCTGGTTGTGGAGTGGAATTGAATATATGCTATAAAGAATGTAAGGCTTATTTGATATTGCAACGTAAAATATGATTAGGTTATTCTTAATGGTGACGTCTGCGTATGGAACTTCAAAGTATTTAATAATGTTATCAAAAGGGATTCGAGTGCTGATACTTAAATATACCGTGATGCATTATGCGAAATTAATTGCCGTTTGTACATAAGTGCGTGTCTCATGAATGATACGTAGAATATTTTCTCAAATAAGAGAATGAAGTACGTCGTTGTTGTCTCAGACTGCGTTAATGTCATGAGGTCATTAACTCGGGTTAACAAAGTTTCTTGGTTACTTTTGATTTTATTATTGTCTGGGTTGAAGATATGTCTTGTTGTAATGTGTATTGATTTTCTTGGAAGGCTCTTATCATATCGTTCTCCGTCATCAGCATCTAACGTGCCGTATAGGTATTTTTGTGTCTTCCTTAAAAAGTTAAAGAGTCATTTTTTAATTCTTTTTTGTGGAGTTGTATAATCGATAAATAATTCGATTGATTTTACTTGATCAATTAAATTATTTGTTCTCACAATTAAGAGTTCGTACAGATAAATAGGTGATATAATACTCGAATTGCTTGAAGTTTGATTAACTTGTGAAAGGGTTAATTTTGTTGACTCTATGCAATCTTTTATATTAGATAAATTTACATGGTAATAAAAATGATGATAATTGGTTATTTAATAACTTGTTCCTTGGTAGACTGGTAGCAAAAGATTCGTTATTTCTTTGATCTTATATTGAGCAATGATGAGTAGCGGAAGTACTGTGAAGAATGCGAACATCATCTTCATCTTTTATTCCTGAAAATTACGATCTTCTTTTAATATCCTTAGGATGTCTTTGATTTTTGAATATGGTTTTCTTATACTTAGGTTGTATTTTTAGAGCTTATTTTCGCGGTGTACTTATAAGTTCTGGTGTAGCTTCGGGTATTTCTGGGTCATTTTCACGTTTTTCATTCAATTCACTTAACACATTTGCCTTTTTGGCATTCAATTTTGAATTTATTTTCTCATTAAGTTCCTTGAATGTTTGAGCAAGCTCTTTCACGTAATCAGTTTGTAGCTGATTCGAAGCATTTTCAAAGTTTAATTGATAATTGACGTTTTCTTTCAATATCTGAAAAAGAGTGTAGTCATGTGCTGAATGAATACTGTTGTTATAATTAAAAATTGCGATATCGATTAATTCTTGAATTGTTTTGGTACGATGGTCAATTCGTAAGGCTATAATGACTTCCTTTATCGTCGAATGAAATCTTTCAATCGGCGAGTTTGAATTTGGATTATACGGTGTAGTAGAATGCAATTCAATCTTATAAATTTTTCACAGGTCTTGTATTAGATTACTCTTGAAAGTTTGTGCATTATCAGTGGTAATTTTACTTGGTGAACCATGATGCGCAAAGAATTTTATTGAACTTTGACAAATCTGTATCGATGTTTCATTCACCAGGTATGCTGCGGCAAATTTAGAAAAATTGTCTATTATCGTTAGATATTTCTGACCTGACAATGAGTGCATGTCCATATAAATATGCTCAAGGGGTTTGGATCCCGTTGGTGTTGGTTTATAAATTACTTTGTAAGGATATCTCTCGTATTTTTATTTCTGACATATTTAACATGTATTTACAAAATTAATTACGTCTCTTTCTAGAATCGGCCAATAATGTCTTTGCTTGATATTTTTGATATTTTCGGTCATTCCTCTATGTGAAGTTTTTGTTGTATGGTATTCTTCTTCTTCTTCTTTTGAGTTTAACACTGCGTTAGTGCGATAGCACTCTTACGCAATTTTGGGTAAGTCCACTTATTACTGCCATGTGTTGTGTTTTCAGTTAGTTTTTGTTCAGGGAAAGGGAGGGGAGTGGAAAAAGGATAGAAAGGAAGGGAAAGGAGGGAAGGGGATTTCACTCACTAGAAAAGAAGTGGAGCTCTTAAATTTCTGAACATAGTTCTGTCAGGGTTAATAGTATAGTTATCGTCAAATAAAGATTTAATTATGTCATTTGTATGATTAGTTACTTTGTCAAGAAACCGCGTATGTTTCTCAACAAGGTACTCCTGGATTGTATCAACGCTCAGGTCTGTATGTAGGTCCGCATTGCGAACATACCACGGAGCGCCGACCTTCCTACGGATTACCTTGTTTTGAAACACCTGCAGTTTCTTTTTATTTTGACGTGTTGTCTGTGAAAAAACTGTTGCACCGTAAAGTAATGTAGGTCGGATAACTAGTTTGTATAATAATAGTTTATTTTTTAGAGTTAGTTTACTGTCCTTGTTAAGTAATGGATAAAGCAATCCCACTAATCTGTTGCATTTATTCAGTTTATGATAAATGTGGGGGGTCCAAGAAAGTTTACTGTCCAGTAATAGTCCTAGATATTTAATTTGATTTGTCCATGTAATTTCGGAATTGTTTAATATGAGAATGTCAATATGCTTGTCACGTTTGTTGGAGATCAGGACGGCTTGGGTCTTATCAATCTTAATTTTAATTTTCCATAATTTTGCCCAGTCAATTATGGAGTCAAGATGATTTTGTAGTCGTCTGTGTATGTGATGTAAGTACGTAGTATGTTGTAAGTATGTTGTATGGTATCTATCTATTATCTTTTTTGAACATCTTGGTGTGTTACATCTTCTAGTAAAGTGTTTGAGATGACTAGTTTGTATAAATTATTTTTGAATGTTTCCCGGAAAATTCATCACAGGTTCTAAATCTTTGTTTGGAAAATGTAGAGAATAGGTATCTGGTGGTAAATTTCATTAGGAGGGCGTGATAATGCGTGTTCATTATCATTCTGCGTTTATTTCTTATACTGTATAGTATATTCGAGTTATTTGATAGAAAATAGACATTGTAATGGTTTATGGTCTGTCACTATTATAAATTTTTGGCCAAATAAATATGGACGGAAATATTTCGTAGCCCATATTACCTATTGCTAATAATTCCTTCTGGATTGTTGCGTAATTACACTCGGCTGAGCTTACTGCTATAAGTAATAGGTAAATTTGATCCAGTTGGTTCTTGCGAAAGTACTGCACCAATTGCGTACTCTGATGCATCAGTTGTTAATACAAATGGTTTTTCAAAATCGGGAAATTGAAGTAGGTATTAGGTCATTGGTTGAAAGGTCTTTACAAAGGTGGAAAGCTGTAATGAATGCTTTGTCATGAATCACTTTGACATTTTTCTTTAAACAATTTGTTAAAGGTTTTGTAATTTTCGCAAAATTCTTCATTAATTTCCTTTGATAACCTACGAGGCCAAGAAATTAATTAATTTCTTTCGGAGTTTTAGGTATTCTGAAATTTTTGACTGCCTCTATTTTTCGAGGGTTTGTTTTGACAACATCTGGGTCCTTATTCTTGAAACAGGGGAGCAGCGTTCCTAGGAGAACGAGTGTTCCGTCTTTGTTCCTCATATTATCATTTACATATCATTGAGAAAGACGGAACACTCGTTCTCCTGGGAACGTTGCTCCCCTGTTTCAAGCATAAGGACCCTGGAGTTATGATGTGTCCTAGAAATTCGACACTTGTCTATAAAAATTCAGATTTGTCTAACTGTATTTTCATATTGGAAGGCATTAATCGTTCGAATACTAGTTTTAAGGAGTTTATGTGTTCTTGAAGGCTGGTTGAATAGATAATGATAGCATCCATACATACTAGAAAGACTTTTCCTAGTAATCCTCGTAAAACATTATCCATTGCTCGTTGGAAAGTAGCAGGAGCATTTTTTAACCCGAAGGACATACGTGTGTATTCGTAATGTCCATGTTCTACATTGAATGCTGTTTCAGGAATACTTTTTGGGTTCATTTCAATCTGGTGAAACCCACTGGCTAAATCAAAAGTTGTAAAATATTGACAATGTCCTAGTTTATCTAATATATCTGCGATATTTGGTAAATACTTATTACTTATGACTTTTTCATTCAACTTGCTGTAGTCAATTACTAATCTCCATTTCTTTTGTCCTGACGCATCTGCTTCTTAGGAAGAATACATATAGGGGAACTCCAAGGAGAACAGGATGGTTGGATGATTCCATCTTGAAGCATTTGGTCTATTTACCTATTTACTTCGTCTTTGTGAATATAAGGGTATCTTTAATTTTTTGTATGTGTTGGGATTTCGTCCGTTGTCTTTATTACTTGTTTGATTTGATTTGAAAATGCTGATTGATCTCCAGGTTTATGTAAAACATTGCCAAATTTTCTAAGCAAAATGAAAAGTCGTTCACGTTCTTCTTGATTTGAATGGTCGTGTCTTATTAAATATTTTAAATTAATTTTTTATTCTTTTAATTATTTTGTTGTTATTTATGTCAAAATCGAGATTATTGTTAAATATTTCAAAGTTGTTGAGTTTGATTGGTTCTACAGGTAAGTTTTCATCTCTATTTCCTTCTGAAATTATCGATCTTTCTGTGTGGTTGAAAATGTCTATTGTATAAGTATTGTTAATTATAGTCATTAATGTTGATTGAATTTCAAAGTCATCATCACGAGAATATGGCATGATCCATGTGGTATTGGTAGGTAGATTTGTTTTTAATGTGGACTTTTGAATAGTTTTTGATGGAATTTCCAATTAGTGATTTTTGAGTGGTTGATTATTGAGGTCGATATTTAGGTTTAATTTACAAAGATCTTTTATTCCTAAAATTCCGTCGAAATAATCATGAAAAGGATATAAAATGAATTTAATTGGTTCAGATATTCCGAAATATAAAAATATTGGAATGTTTGCTTTACTGATAGCTTTTTTTTGAACCAGCCATGCTTGAAGTGTACTAACTGGAAAATATATTTCAGCTAAGGATGGTCTAAGCAATGATGTATGTGATCTTGTATCTATTAATAATCGTATATTGTAAGTTTAAGTTTACTTTGTCCAAGCCTTCCAATTGAAAATGTTCCAATTGTTCTGCAAGATTTTCTTCTCCATAAGATGTTTGATCTTCGAAATTGTCATTACTTTTGTAAAAATCGTATTCAGATTCTGGGTTATTTTGGGATTCAGTTTCCTCATTTTCAAGATTTGTTAATTCCTGAAATGTGTAATTGGGTTTTCCTGTAGATTTGAAGTAAGGTTGATGTTGTCTTACTTGGCTGACAGGTTTTCCCGATTGAAAACTCACACCTGACATTGGTTGTGGGTTGTAGGTATTGCTGCTGTGATTTGGAATATTGAAATTTTTTCTGGGCAGAGTTTTGAGCTTGTGGCTTGAAAAATTATTGGTTTGGCTGTTTGGAAAATTGCCCTTGTGATTAAAAAAAGGGTTGATTTGATGGTTTTGATTGATTTTTTGGAGTTTGTTTAGAAGAACTCGTTTGATATTGACTAGGATGACTAGTTGGCTTTTGTTGAGAATTTGCGAAGTGATTTTGGATTGGATTGTAGATTCGTATTCGTGATTATACAAAAAAAAATAATATATTTTAAATTATCGAAATGTAAAAACATCTGTGGTAACTGCTTTTTTTATTTATAAAGTCAATTTTTAGTTCCTTTTCTTTTATATATTTTTAATTTATACAATTTTGATTTTCTAAATTCTGAAGATGGAATGAATAGAAAATTCCGAAACGTAAAAAAAAAATGTTGTTTCATTTTTCAACCTGACTGACTCCCAGTAAAAACCTCATCACTACAATATACAACTACCTACATAAATTCATCATTTTTCTCAAGAAGTTCTTTGATGAAGATTGTTTGAGAAGTGTCATCATTGTCTCGCAGTTCATCATTATAGAGCAATTTTGATTGTTTGAAATCAGTGGTAGAACACTTTTGAATAGTACAAATCAGTAGTTCTTCCGCCGAGCCTAAATCAAAATTTCCCAAAATCTATAGCACTTTCACGACCGCTATTATGAAATTTGACGATGCTCGAAACCAACCGCTTTTTTTTTGGGTAGCATAACTTTTGACAGAAATTATATATTTTTTACAGGTTATATGTGTTTTGTTATATATTTTTTGTAATACCTAACATTCAATGTCACATATATGTGACATCGGTTTCCGATAAGTTTTCCATTAAAATTTACCAACTGTCACGATGGCAAACCGTGCGACACACATGTGTGACATAAACTGTTAGCTGTTCTAGACTCTTCGGCTACGCTGTATAGGTGATAATTATTGTTCAATATCCAGTGAGTGTTACCTTGTAACGTCAAACTCCAGTAGGATAGTCTAGAAACAACAGAAATCCGCATTAGTTGGGAGACGATATGAATCGAGATATGAACCACAGCTGTCACAAGCTTATGACTGAAACAGAATATTCAATCCTGAAACCATGCGACACAAATGTGTGCCAAACAGTCCTAGAAACTGATGCCAAAACACATCTGTCGCCGTTGAACCGCCCGGGAGTTATTTGCATTCAATCATCGTAGGGTCATTGTCACTCTTGTGTGACATCAGTTCCTGGCAAAAACTGCTTGTCACATATGTGTGACGCGTGGTCGTGAAAGTGATAGGTAGTTCATTGGGGCATTTGCTCTCTAGACATTTGATGTTGTGCAAAAAATTTTTTTTAGTGTTTCAACGGCATAGAAATTAGGTACCTACTTCTGAATTATAATACCTAGCTCACGAAGTTCGGTTTTCATCCCTTGCAGTTTTCAAATTTTGTCTGGACTTTATTCATAAATGTTTGAATCAAATACCAACATTTCATTTCGATGCATCCCTTCATTCTTTCTTGAGACATAAAATTCCATAATTAAAAAATTTCAGAAAGAAGAATTTCCAATTTCCAAAATCGAATACAATGCCAATGAAAACAACAATATACAATTCTATAGAATTAATAAATTGTGTTAAAAAAAAATGACTGATTTAGTGATCGTGAAAAATGTGACAAACGAAACGGTGATAGTGAAAAATGAACTTTTAATGGATCCGGCCGGTTACATTATAACCGCCTTTGTTTTGTTTCTAATTGGATTTTGCGGATTCTTTTTGAATTTATTCGTTATTCTTCTAATGTGGAAAGATAAACAGGTAAGTCAACTGGTGATTTTGAATTTATAGTTTTATATAAAACGATTAATTTTTACAGCTTTGGACGCCCTTAAATATAATACTGTTCAATTTGGTGTGCAGTGACTTTTCGGTGTCGATATTCGGTAATCCGTGGACTTTTATATCGGCAATGTCTTACGGCTGGATTTGGGGCAGCACGATGTGTGTTATGTATGGATTTTTCATGTCACTTTTAGGTAAGAACTACATTTTTTGTTTTAGCTGACACCCTCTAACTATTAATCTGGAAAGCTTTGAGAATACCCCAGTAGCACACAATGTTGGTCCCATGTTGCGGATACATTGGACCAATATTGTATGTTGGCCCAATATTGGAATTTTTTAGCCAACATTGGACATTTATTGGCAATACAACTTCTTTCATCATTATAATAATATATTTATCCAAGAATGGGCCAATATACACAAACAATATTTTTATCGGCAGCATATAGCCAAGATTGGTTACATATTAGCAATACATATTTTTCTTATATAACAGTGATATATTTATCCATCATTGAACCGATATGCACAAAAAAATTGTTTTTTTTTGCATTATTGAGCCAATATTGGCAATACATATTTTTCCACATTGTTATATTATATTTTCTTAAGAATGGGCTAATATACAGAAAAAATATCTTCATTGACATTAATTAGACAAAATTGGTGGGTTATTGGCAATACAACTTTTTCTAATATAACAGTGATATATTTATCCATATTGGCCAAATATTGATTTTATATTGATAAAATATTGTATATGGATCCAATATTATCAATTTGTAGCCAATATTGGTAATATATTAGAGATTAATCTTTTTCCTACATTATTATTATATAATATGTGAATCCAAGATTGATCCAATATTGGATCTAATCCATGTTTGGCAATATCTTTTATTCATGTTTATATTTAATATTTATCCAATATTGGTGATATATAGGAGATGTACCTTTTCCCTATCAATCAGGACTACCGAGAGAGGGCACCACGCGCTACTGATGGCCTTGCTCTTTCCTAGTGTTTGAGTTTCCTTCAAACCCGTTTCTTTAAGTTGGTGTGCTTCGCTCACAAGTTCGAAGCCGGAAACCAGTCTATTCTGCAGGTGTTGGAGTTTTGGTTAAACACATGTGTTTTTCCAAAAAAATATTGTGAATATTTCTAGAAGAAATATTTCATATTTATTAATTTGTAATATTGGAGAATTATTTATATTCACTGTCGGATTCATTTAAAAAGTATACATTGTGCCAATCTGAAAAACAAATGTTGGGTATATATCTGTCGTTTCCATTCTTGGGCCAATATGTAAATATAATATTTTACCAATATTGTTGTGCTACTGGGGTAGACAACAAAACATTATTATGTAAAACAGTAAAAGTTTTTATTGTGCTTTTGTTTGAGGAATGAAATTTTGTTCAACTTCATTTAATTTTTGTTTTCTCTTGTGCAATATGGAAATATAGTCGAGGCCAAATCAACTTCTGAAAAGTTCACGATTTGGTATGAAAGTCACGTTCGCAAAATTATGTATATTTTCATCAAATGAGAATCGAAAATTATTTCTAGCATTTAAATTGTAAATTCTACAGAAATTTACTATAAATCAACCTCGAAATCAACGTATTATTTATTTATTACTTCTTGAACGTTTCAAATTATGGTTAGTTTATCTCATCCAAAATCTCGTGACAGAATTATTTTGAACATTGATTGATTGAGTGTATCTTCTTCTTTTCATTATTCTCTCTTTTCCTTTGCCAATTTCCATCAGCAGGTAGCTCTATTTTAAACCATTTTTCTTGCGGTTAGTTTGCGGTGGTTAGCCTCTTGATTTGTGCCTAGTATATGATTTTAATTGTATCAGTTCTGAGTTTTACCTTTCTGACTCGCACAGTATTCTTCGAAACTCCATTTTATATTGGTGACTTGTTGGAGAATCTTCCGCTCAATGGCTCTTTGAGTCTTGAATAGTTTGTCGATATTATTCTTTGTATAGGGTGTTCCAATAAGAGTTTCCGGATGTTTTTTTCAATTCCAACAAAAAGTAAACTAGGACCACCTTCATTCTCAAAGAAGTAAGGTCCAAGAATGCCTCCAGCCCAAAAGGCGCACCACACAGTTACACGTCCAGAATGCATTGATTTCTCATGGATTTGCCTTGGATTCTCACTGCTCCATATGCGGCAGTTCTGTTTATTAACATTTTCGTTCAAATGAAAATGGGCACGCTGAGCCCAGAGCGGGGTAGCAACGAAATTTTCACCTACAAGCGTGCAAAAACTAGCATTTTACTGCATACTATGCGGTAAAGTTAGTTTACCGCATAGTCTGCGTCAAAATAACCTGCAAAGTGTGCGGTATTCACTTCACCGCGTAGTGTGCGGTAAAGCAGACTGCTTTGCTAATGATATAGCTGAAATTTTATAACACATGCGTTTTTGACGTTGTTAGGTGAATAACTATAATCTTTTCACATATTTTTCTGCATCAATTACCACACAAATTCAAAGGAGACACTCAAAGGAATCTCTAACTGAAGTTATATAGGAAGCGTAGACAAAAAACTCGTTGCATAGGTACAGTTCAGATAAAATAAATGTTTTCTCATAATTTGGATTTTGTAATTAGCGATGAGCAGACGCATTCTTTTTGTGTTATAACATAGATTGTATTTAGAGCGGGGTAGATTTAGTTGAGGGGAGCGGAAGGGCGAGATTGTTTTCAAAAGGGGTACATCTACCCCGAACGGGGTAGCTTTGGCAACACTGCTCGTCAGCGTAGGAAAATGTTAGTAAATTCAACAATGCCCTAATGCACTCTAAATCCACAAAATCAAGATCCCAGCACAAAACACAATTTCTTAGGTTTTTTTAAATTTACTTTTTATCTGTGTTGTTTACAGCATGGAACGATTTTTGTTAAATACATGAACAATGCACAAGTTATAAAAATTGTTATAAACAAACAAAAAAACATAAAAATGAACGAAATAATAGGTACTTGCATAAATTGAACTCTCAAAAACAAAATAACAATTGTTCAACTGACCTGTGATCGCTCCTCTACACACAAACTAATCACAAATTGGATTGAACAAACAGTTTAACACAAAATAAAAATAAAAATTGAATAATGAACAATTGCGGACAAACGCTACCAAGGGGGTACATTGTGTACCCCACACGCACAAAATTGCGTGTATTTGAAAGAAATATTTTTCAAATGTATTGTGCTTTTATCATCGCCATTAATAATACTTTAGTGAACTAATAACATCATAGTTAATCATTTACAATTAAAAATATTCAAATAATTAATTTTGTTGGCTGGGGTACAATTTGTACCCCGCTTGGGGTTTGATGTCTTTTGCTTTGCCAAATAGATTCATGCGGAGTTCTCGACGAAATCACACGTGTTTAAAACCTCAACTGATGTACATGTTTATTATTTTGCTAATCGTTGTATTATGCGGTTTGTGTAGATTTGTGCTCCTTAGAAATGGCCATTTCTGTCAAAATCATGGCCATCAAAGAAAAATCAATTATTGAAATAATTGGATGGAAATGGAAATTTAAATTGAGTATCTAATGTGTTTTATAAAAATAACATTATTTTGCAGAAAATTTCCACGGATATTTTGTATTTTTTTATGTGTAGCAGGATTTTCTCCTCCAAACGGTAATAGAAAAACAAGAAGTACAATTTGTACCCCCTTGGTACTCCGCGTTCGTTCAGAACCTTGGTAGCACAAAAGTTAAGGAACCAGCCCAGAGCCCTACTTCTTCTCTAGTCTAGTCGCTTATTCTCTCTGCTTCCCCTTTGGTGGTACCTTTCTGTTGCCGCTCGCTCTCGTTCTCATCAATTTCACAGAGTGCATGGTTGCAACATTTACTTTTATTCCGTAAACATTTTTTTAAAAGTTAAGATTCGAAGAAAAAATGGTTTAAATAGGTGGTTTTCCTCAATACGTACTGGGATTTCCAGCCACACTTTGTCGAATAGCATCAATATTTTCAACACAACGAGCTGAACGTACACATTCTGCTACTCTCACATCTTGCACAGACCCAGACCTTCCAAATTTGCGCACTATATTGCGAATAGTTTTTGCCGATGGACGATTATGTATACCGAAATAATCACGAATTGCGCGATATATCCAAACCATAGGAGATTGATTTTCAAAATAAGTTTTGACTTGTTGTTCTACTGTATATCGCTCCATGGTAAAAATTATACTGGTATATCAGATAAAACAAACAAAAAATCATCGAAATATTTCCGATAAAAAAATAACATTTGGAACCTCTTAATGGAACACCTTTTACTTAGATATCCAATTCCGAAAACCACATATCACTGTGGGTTATACAGATTCGTTGAAAATTCTGCTTCTCAGAAAAAGTGAAATCTATTGGGATCCACGTAATCCTGCTAGAGGCTGTCCATTGCCCATGCTGGCGTTGCTCTTATATAGATAATCTATTCGAGCACTTTTTTCAAAGAAAAATTTTCATTGGCCACTCTTTTATCTTCCTCAACAATATTGTGGCATTTCTGAAGATCTTATGGTTGGTTGGTTGGTTGGTTTAAGAAGGCATCAGGCGAGCTCGTGTCCCGATTTGCATTGCAGCCTTGAGGCTTTTTGTGCTACCCCCTTAAGCAAAGTTCCGTCCCTTTGATGAGATCTAGCAACTTGCTGGCAAAATTTTCATACGGGAATCTCTCGCTGCGTTGTATTCTTCCAAATAAATTGTGTCTTTTACGATCCAGTGCTTCACAGTCGTATACTATGGCTATGTTTCGATATCAACTGCCAGTACTGGATTCACTATGCTGATTTTACTGTCATTTGCCGTTCCAATTTTCATTTTCATGATCAACCCCGAATGCCCAGGAACCACTGATCTCAAAAATAAATGGATAAACAAAGAACGCTTTTAATGCTGCTAATTTACGAGATCAAAATCTCAACAAAAACAACTGACTGGGACAGCTGTGAGTGTGCGCAAAATCTGGCCAATGAAAATGAAGGAATTTCAAAATTTAGAACAGTTGTTCGAAAGATAAGACACTGCGCAGGCGTTAGGCTGTTCCGTTGCACAACTGTTCGTAGAATATTGACACCAAATTTTCGCACAAATTTTGCCAATCAAGCCGTATGAATTGCTTATCCATTTATTT